AGTGAATGAGGGGAAGTGGAACTACTAATGACACGCAGCCATGCTCTCCACGGTCAATCCCAGGCGGCTTTACTTCCTCTTCCTGAGGCCATCCCTGATGAGGGAAATGTGGTAAAAAAAAACAAAAAAAAAACTGTACATGTCAATTTCAGATGGTAAAAGTTATGTTTTAGCTGGGGTTTAAGTGATGCTGTGCCTTTTATGTCTATTCTTTTCCATATTACACACATTAATTCATTAGTATTTTTCACAAGTATGAATCTTATTCCCTTCATTCCTCTTTTACAGAGTTCACAATGATCAAGTGTGGATTAAGTTGTCGGACGGCAACACATTTTCATTGTTGCTATTGTGCAGCAACAATTATAAATCCATTGCAATTTACAAGGCACTTACAAATACACCAGGAGGAGGAGGAGCATGCTGCAGCCCCTGCACAGCACTTTCTGGCCCCTGTGCAGCAGTCTGTGGCCCCTGCTCATCACCCAGAGGCCCCTGCTCATCACCCATTGGCCCCCGCTAGGCACCCAGAGGCCCCAGCTCATCACCCACTGACTCCTGCAGAGTGTTCCGAGGCCACTAAAGCATGTAGAGAACAAAAGAAATTCAGTTGTCCTCATTGCAAGGTGATTTTAAGCCAAAAAAACTTCAAAGCACACTGCAGGAGAAAACGCACCCACCTCTTTGAGACGGGGTCGAAGGACAGAATTTTGGCCTGTCAGTGTGTCGATGGCACACATGGTGTGTTTGCAGTTGAAAAATCTTTTTCTGGTCCTGCAACACCCATACATGTCATGAAGAATACTTGGGGGCCAACACAGAAGATCATGTGTGAGGTCGACCAGTGTCGTCTGAACACTGACTTTGCTCGAAGGAGCGGGATGTTGCCTTTCAAGTGCCACCACATACAATCTTTATTGTATTGCCCACGCACTGATGGTCAAACCGTGACACTAACAGGTGAGGCCTTGGAAACAATGGTGGACAATAAATGGTTTGGTGAGGAGCGTAAAGCCAGCCTCTTGCGTTGCCAACAAAATGCTGATGTAGAGGGTGTGCCTCTGTCTGTGCACCTGACTGTGGGTGGTCCACCATCCAAATATCATATCTCTGTTTATGAAAAAAAGGTAACCTATTACAGTAGGTTGGGAAGAGTGATTGTGTCATATGACTCAAAGCAAAACAACTGGCATTGTCCCTGCTCTAAAGCGAGACAGTGTTGTATTCATAAAGCTGTTGCTAAATGGCATCTGTTTGTCACAAAGAGGGAGCTATTTAGGAAGGTGAAGAGCACAGATGCAGAGACACTCAATCTTACCCAGATCACCACAGTCCAAAATGTCAGCAACTCTAAAGAGGACAGTTATCCACCAGATGACAGACAAATTGCGAGGATGCTTGAATACCTCCTCACCAACAAAAAGCTCCCAGCAGATATACCCCAGGCTCTCATAGAGCAGTCGAGAGAGGGAAGAACACAGGACAGCTTTCCTAAGCACCTTATCCCCAGAGAAACAAAGTGTGTAGAATGTGAATACACACTTTGTGAACAACTGATAACATCGAAAGGCAAGATCCTGACTAGCACAGGTGTAGTTGAAGGTTGGTATCATCACAGGTCTTTCTATTGTGTTCTTATTAGTTAGTGGGTTACATCATTTATATGTACATGAGAAATAGAAAAAGTATTTCTACTAATCTCAAATGACATGCAAGCAATAACCATGATCTTTGGTTGGACTGTGTTTTTAGGAATATCAACATACAGGAAATCATGCCTGAACTGTGGCATGATTTACAGATACCAGGAGTGGGAGGAGGGTATCCACAACTTTGACCATATCATCCTGTCTTTGCACTTGTGCCTGATGGTCAGGAATGCACTACAGGTACTCACTCACTCACTCATTACTGTAAAATAAATGATGATTGAAGATGCAACTCCAACAACATATATTAGTTTTATTTTTACATTTTATAGTATTGGAATACTCTTGTTTCTCATAATTTTCCAGACCCATACAGCTATCAGTAAAGTGATAGAAATTATAGAGACAACAGAGAAGGTGTCCTTTCCAAACAAGGAAAGAGTTCTGCAGGCATACCTTCACTTTGAGGCCCTAACCAACCATGAATACACATACAGTTGTGTGTCATGTGGATACAGCCCAGCGGTTGTTGTAATGGACCTCCACAAAAAAGGCATTTTTAATATGCCAGGTGAGTTTAATAACCTATTATTTCACATATTTTAGCTTCATTGTTTGTATAGTACAGCATCTCTCTCTGAATTGTTTAACATCATATTAACCATGCCCTTGAATAACGCTGCATCAACTCTTGTGTTCTGAGTGTTTTTTTTTAGTAATTGAGCTATGAATAACAAACTATTGTTTTAACAGTGAGTGAAATCCCAAGTCCACCTGATAGTTATGATGGTAATGTGGACATAAACGACTTCTGGTACGCTGTGGCCACATAAATAATCAGTCGGGGATTAATTCCATGTAAGTCTTGTGAAAAGACAGAACAGCTTAAGAACAGTTGGAGAGAGAGTAAAGTATATTAATATGTATTTAATGTTGTGATAATAGCTAATACTCATCACATTTGTTCACAAAGATGGTCGGAAGAACCCTTTTGTTGTACACCCGAGCTATCATCACTGGGCCCCCTGGATTGGCCCACACACCCGGAGGTCAAATTCTGTGTTTAATACAGAATTTGAAAAAATGCAAAGACCCAAAACGGCAAATGATGGGGACGATAACCTTAATGATGATGAAAAAATTAATGAGGAGCGCCTCACGGATGAGCTTGTGAACTTGAAGGTGAATTAGTTGATGAAATATGCAAAATCCACTTCTTTGTGCTAACAAAAAATATGTCTGCTATATTAACAATATCAATTTCATTGCATTTTCACAACAGGTAGAGGAGGTCAGGGCACTGTGCAAACAGTGTGGCGTGGACGACAAAGGGTCCAAGGTGGATCTTCTCATGAGACTGTCTATCTGTCTGTCTGAGAAAATGTCTAATAGAGTCACCTACAACAAGGTGTTTGAGATATGTGGGGAGCCTCAGGTAAGTGAAATGATATGGAATGTTGAAGATAATTCCACTTTGTTATACGTTGTTGTGTTAAAGAAATTACAGTATCATTATGTAGTAGGTTAGCTATACATGCTCCTAATATCAGTTATTACTGTTTTTTTCTGTTTCACAGGTGGTTGGGCAGTTATCACTTGCCCATGTGGGGTTGTGTATTCAGTCAAATTCAACCTTAGAGCAGAGAGTCCACGTGACTTTGTGGATCTCTTGCTGTCCTGGAAACACTTCCCCAATGTGTCAGTGTACGATTATGCCAGGGGGCTGGCACTGCATGCCAACCGCAGGCACCCAGGAATCTTTGCCCCTTTTCAAGGTTCTGAGAAAGCTGGAGCTTGTGCCAGAACTTGCTAGTCTTATTAACAGCCAGTGTGCGG